AATGAGGAGAGAGTTTTCACTGATCACCGAGTATTAAAAAAAGCCACGCGTCCTCAGGAGACGCCGTCTCTGCCCGTTTGTCTGCGAAGCATTTTCTGCCTCCGACATATTGTGAATCTTTTCACTCACATTCCTTCAGGTGAATATTTCTGCCTGCCTTGGCACATTCTGTGTAAATCGGTGCTAAACAGAACCTTTCTGGCAATTCTGACTTCAGTGAATAACAAAAGCTGAGAATTCTGCTGGCACTGCTGCTGTTCCTCCACCAGGGGCAGGACCAGGCCAAACAACTGGATGCAAAGGAAAGTTTTGTTGACGAGAGTTAATGTTTTTTTTCTTTCTTCCATCACTCAGCCTCTGAGAATGCACTGCCAGACGTGCGCCCTGGTGACCAGCTCCGGTCACCTCATCGGAGGAGGTCGCGGGGATGAGATCGACCAGGCGGAATGCGTCATCCGAATGAACGACGCCCCCACATCCAGGGGTTACGCCCGCGACGTGGGCCGCCGCACCTCGCTGCGCGTCATCGCTCACTCCAGCATGCAGAGAGTCCTGCGGAGTCGCCACGAGCTGCTCAACGCCAGCCAGGACGCGGTCTTCATCTTCTGGGGCCCCAGCAGTTACATGAGGCGAGACGGGAAAGGCCTGATCTACAACAACCTGAGGCTGATGAACCAGGTGCTGCCCAAACTCAAGGTTTACATCATCTCCTGGCAGAAGATGCTGCAGTTTGACGAGCTCTTCAAGAAGGAGACGGGGAAAGACAGGTGAGAACTGCAGCTGCAGGGTCTGAGCCGCAGACTGGACGTCAAAGATCCAGAATCTACAAACACTCAGACTCAAATATGAAACTGCTTTCATAAAACCAGAAGATGCTGCAGTTTGACGAGCTCTTCAAGAAGGAGACGGGGAAAGACAGGTGAGAACTGCAGCTGCAGGGTCTGAGCCGCAGACTGGACGTCAAAGATCCAGAATCTACAAACACTCAGACTCAAATATGAAACTGCTTTCATAAAACACTCACATCACGCTCTGAAAAAAAAAAACTGATCGAGAAACAGGTGAAAAAGAAGAATAGAAAGGGCTAGCGTTGACTTTTGTGCTCATTTTCCTCCAGTGAAAGTTGAAGCTCTGATTTCAGATTTGCTCATTTTTTTAACCAATTACAATATTACCAGTGTTATCGCAATATATTACATTTATTCTGTATTAATAAATGTAATATATAAATAGTTTAGATTATAAGATCTCATTTGTTAAATGTCAGCTAGCGTCTGCTACCTTTAAGCCATTTCTTAGCTAATGCTCCTTTAATTTCGGAGGCGTCTCTCCCCGTGTTCTTCGAGGTAAAAGCCGTTAGAGTGGAGTACAGTGAGTATTTTAACAGCCTTAGAATCTGTGCATAACATAAAAACACTCTTCACACTCAAGGTAAAGTCGACATGTTAAAAAAAGAAAAAAAAAGATCAAATCCTGTCTCTCTAAACTGAGTGAGTTGCAATAATGAGTTCTGTTTCTGCAGAGCTGGAGAGGGTAAAGGAGCACAGTTTAATGAGCACAGACCAGAGTTTGAGATTCATCATCAATATCATTGTAGTCTACACACCCACACACACGCACACGCACACACAGGCAGCGTTCGTCTGTTCCTTTATTTGTCCGAGTCTTTGTCAGTGATGTCAGTGAAGACTGATGTCCAGGGGAAATTAAAGGATCGACTGAGCGGCTCAGACATCAATCCTCACCGATCTACTCCTACAGTCGATGTAAATGTTTACAGTGCACGCACACGAAGAAAGAGAAGAAGAAAGAGAAGAAGAAGATGATGATGATGATGATGAAGACGACCACATTAGTCCAACTTTACATCAAGGAACAATCGTTTCCTGCCACGATAAAATCAGACCTTTTTGTCTTGAGCTGGTGTGAGATTAGCATCGTTAGCGGAGTGTGTGTGTAATCAAGTGTGTGACGGACCACATTGCAGGCCTGTAATTGTAATTATGGGTTACACCATTTCAGCTAAGGTAATTACAATAATGTGTATAGCACTGGCACAACCAGCAATTTTAATCACAGCGGTGGAGCACGTTAGCATCCTCGGTGTTAAAGGGAGGAGTTGGTGATTAAAGGCCGCTCAGATCTTTATCGTTGTGTAATGTCTGACGGTAACAGCTCTGATGAGGTTCACTGGTGTCATTATGATTTTTTAACTTTATATCCTGGACACAGTGACAATAACAATAAAAAGAAAATAAAAATGTTTTGAGAATTGGACATAAAGAGCAAAAAGGTTAAAATATTTATATGAGTTAGTGTCAGTGTTGGGCACAAGCAAAAAGGTTAAAATATTTATATGAGGCACGTTTATGAAACTGAAAATATAGAATGCACTGGTTTCCATTTTTGTCTCTTGACCAATTAGTTAAAGAATCTGAGAGTTTTATTTTGACGAGATTAAAAGTGAGCAGATTAGAAGAACAGTCAGAGATAAAGTCAGACGGAAAAAGCTGAGGTAAGGGAACACGTGTCGGGGGGAGATGGGGGAGATAATGGACACAGGCAGGAAGGAAGAGAGGAGATTAGAGCAGAGAGCAGCCTGAAGCAGAGGACGTCGACATGATCATGGTCCAAACATCACTTACTGAAACAAACAAAGTCAGAAAAACATGCAGCAAAACCACAGAATACAGATTTGTCAGAGCGAGAAACTGTGTTTCTGTGTCAGAAAAAGGTCAAAGTGAGGAGAAGTAACTTAGTTAAGTCACTGACTGAACTTAGTTTAACTGACTGAACTGTTAGTTTCCACAAGGAAGGAGAAACTTTCTCACCCAACCCACTCATTGGTGTTCTCCAGACTGATGTCGTGTGTCTGCAGACAGGCAATAAAGTGCTGGTAATGACGGAGCAGAAGACGAAGAAAAAAAAAACCTATAATTTGTTTGCCACTCAAAGTGCAAGAGCAGGAAATATCAGGTGGGAAGAGGAAGAAATAGAAAGAAGAAGAAGAAAAAGAATGGTGATCTGACTAATGTCAGCCCAGCAGCAGACTGTTCGTAGACTGAACGCAGCTCCTCCCTCCTCCTCAGAGATGTATTCAAATGTTTCAATCACAGCATCTCCACCTTTAAAGAACGCAAAACTGAGAGGAACATCTCCACAGTCTAGATGTAAGAACGCAAAACTGAGAGGAACATCTCTACAGTCTAGATGTTGTACTACACTATCTCTCTCTCTCTCTGACTGGTTACTGTTAGATGATGTCGTTTTAATCACATCCTCTACAGATGCAGGAATCATGGCCAAATTCCTGGATAAAAGTGATAAAAAAAAAAACGAATCAATGAAGTCGACAACACAACAAACTGAAGACGTTCTCTCAGTGAAACCAGCCAGGTCAGCAAAATTCCCACGACTCTGTGTCACGATCACAAGGTTCTGAAGCTTCGACTGAACCGTCGCCGCTGCCGCTCTTATACAACGGCCACCAGCTGTGACGATGTGTTAATTAGTCACATATTCAAGTACACAAAGAAATAATTCCACTGCGTCGCCTTCATACTGTGTCATATTCTGTAGCTGTTTAGTAATTAGCGAGAAGAATCACATCTGCCCTTGTACTGCATCTGATTATCTCAGCAGGGAACTCAGCTTCACAGTCTGCTGCCACTCAACTCCTCTGGTCTGGAGCTGTCCATGGTACCACACACCAGTATTAGTTCTTTTTGATGGATCAGAGCTGTCTATGGTGCTGAACTGACAACCTCAGACCCGTTATCAATCTTACTATCCTTTCATATGCCAACGTGGAGCTATCCAAGGTTCTGAAGTAGAACCATCATTCATTAGTAATCTGTGGGGTTTTTCCTGACGACTCGGAGCTATCCTTGGTGCTGAACTGACAACTGTATGTCAACGCGGACCATGGCGCTATCCCTGGTGCTGAACCAAAACAGAGTAGAATACAAACGAGAACAAAACACAAACATATATAAACAGTTCAATCTGTCAGTGTTCATCCTAACTCTTAATGCAGGTAAGACTTATGTACAAAAAGCCTAAAATTATATATATATATTTTAAAGTTGAACAGATATATTTTTCTTTCTGTGCCTCAACTCTACAAGAACCGTTGCTTCTTTTCTACCATCCAACAGCAGCAGACCTGTCAAAGACACACACACTAAACAGGCGTTTTTCCCCCCGTTGCACTGTTTTGTTCTCTGATAAAATAGCAGAAAAGAAGTCTGAACACATTTCTAACAGCCAGGTAAAAGCCTCCACACTGTACATGTCACTCCCATCACCTGAAGGCGAGCGAGGTTTCGATGTATCTGCCTGCTTGTTCCTGTCAAGACTTTTCTCGTCACAGCTGGGTTTTGTTTCTCTGAGTTAGAGCCTCAGCCTCAGTGGGTGTAAGGCAGTCTCTGAGAAACAGCAGAGTGTTTAAAAATACACACACTGTTTTGACATATTCTTGATATTTGAAAAAAAAAAAAACAACAACTAAAGACTAAACCCAATCTCAAGACATTAGTTTTTAGACTCTCGAAGCACAAAGACATTATTTTAAGGTCAGTTTAAGCTGTAACGTTATCTGTCAGCTAAACTGCTTTTACAGTTTTTCAGTTAACATTTAGTTAATTGGACTTTTTGTGAATGGTACTGAAGCAAATATTTGTTTTTGTTGTAAGATTCTGGGTTGTTTTCAGCCACGTCTCGGCTTTGCCTTTGATTTCTAACTCTTCACTGTGTGAAAAGAATTAGAAAACGTTCTACATCAAACTGCATTGAATTAAATCACTGACTAAAAAGTTTTACTTCTGTACTCGTCTGTGTTATACTAATATACTGTAGGCAGACCTGGACACAGCTATGGTCCATCCTTGGATGACCTTCACGCTGACACATATCAGAAGAGAATCACATCGTGGTCTAACTCTTCTGTGATCGTCTTTTTCTGCCTGAATGCCTTATTCATGCTTCTTTAAAAAAATACATCAAATAAAAAAATGAAATTAAGTATGAATGCTCTTCAGGTCAAACCTGTGCTAATGAACGGCAGTGAATTATTAGAAAAAAAGCCTTTGGCGCAAATTAGAGTTGAATTATTGAAGGTTAACGTGACATAAATACAAAAAGGAGTTTCAGAGGAGAGAAAAAAAACATGCATGCAATCATTTGCTGGCAACCGGTTAAAGTGCCACTGAGCTGTGCAGCAGTGGGAACGTAAGGAGATGCACGACTGAGCCGGGTTCTGCTGATGGATTTAATTTACCCCAGCAGAAAAAACCACTCTGTCAACCTGAACGTCAGCTCTTAGTGGAGGAACAACAGCCGCGCTGCTTCTCTTCTCCCACTGCCACAAATTAATACATTGATTTGTTAAATATCGATTGTTAGAAAAGTGCAGAGACAAGGATCAGCGTGATGTCCTTTTCCGCCACTGCAGCGGATCAGACCGTGGACAGAACGACTCTTGGCTCGGTTGCTCTGGTCTTCAGCTCAAACTGAACGTGAACTGGGGTGTAAAACGGACGGGATGCTGACGGATCAGACTGACAAAGACGTTAAAAAAAAAGTTGTACGTCGTTGACTTTACACAAACGGAGAACTTGGTTCACCTCCTCTACGACGTTCCATCTCTCCTGACTATCAGCAGTTTTCCTGCAGACGAAAGCTTTTCAGTGATTGAGGGTTTGATTATTCAATTGTATCAGTGGATACGCAGCAGATGGAGCTGTATTTAAATGAAGGCGTGGGGAGAATTCTGAATCATCCATCAGTCTGGAAAATCAACTCAGCATGAGCAGAAATCTTAATAATAAAAAATCACCGTCCGACCGGGGTGAGATTTTCTGATTATCTTTCACGGTTCATCACAATCACACAGCTGTTGTCCTTCTTCTCTGCAGAAAGATCTCCAACTCCTGGCTGAGCACAGGCTGGTTCACCATGACCATCGCCCTGGAGCTGTGTGACCGCATCAACGTGTACGGAATGGTGGCCCCTGACTTCTGCAGGTGAGACCGTGCCACAAATGTTGCATCAAAACTAACGAGTTCACAGTGAAGTGCACACAGGTGGTGCATTCAAGAACACCGGACGTTCACACACATTTGATTTGATAAATTGTATTCGATGGAAGTGAAAGTTTGACTGAATGAAGTCTCTTAAACGAACAACAAACCAACGAGAGGACGCCGCGGCGGCGCTGCCTTAAATGAAGTTCTACTCTGACCTCACTTCCTGTGACTCTGACTCCAGTTTCTCCCACTTCCTCTTCCTCTCACATCAGTTCACTTCATGGCCTTTTTTTGTTCCCGTCTGAAGATGATGAAGCGGCTGTGAAACAGCCAGGAAAGTTCAACAGACATAAAGCTCAGGAAAAAAAAAGAAAAATCTTAAATGTCAAAGCACTAAAAGTCACATAACTGCAGGCGGTATTTCCCCCCCAACAGCCACTGTCGGCAGTTAATTCATTTTTAAAGTTTAAAAACGTATTAATTTTCTTTTATTATTTTTATAACTTAGTTGCATTGGTTTAAAAAAAACATTTTTATGACTTTGTTTTTAGGCCAAGTCAATATGAGCTGGAGCTGGAGGGAAGTTGGAAAATAAAATTTAACATTAAATATTTATACAAAGAGTTATTTTATACATTTTAAGTATGTAAAAAAAGACTATGAATAATAATAAAATATGTGATGAATGGATGGAGGGTATTATCAAAATGCCTTTTACCTGGAATTTTCAAAGAATCATCAACGTGATTACATTTAAAAACGTTAAATGAACAGCAACATGTTGTGAAGAATCTACTGTTATATTAAGGCTGGAGTAAATAAAAAAAACAGTTTGGAGGAAGAGTGTCAGGA